TTTACAACCAACCTTTTCCAGCCCAACAGACGGAGAAGATAAGCACTGAGAACAAAGGTAACTTTCCGGATCCAAAAAACTGAGTTCTTGTTCTTGGACCAAGTACATTGTACTCGATCCTTGATTTTTCAAGTGCATATGTCTTGATTCAAGTGATATGTACTTGAAAAATCAAGGATCAAGTTCAATGTACTTGGTCAAAGAACTCAGTTTTTTTGGGCGCGGCAGAACTGATTTGCGGCAAATGCGTCGTCAGCCAGTTCGCCGTGAAGGTGCTCTCGATCGCAATTAGATAAGTTTATTGCTGATTATTGAGATAAGTTAGGGTGGCAGTCACTGTCTTCCCCGGTATTCCCCGTCGTCCTGCCGCCTGCCGCAGTGACGCTCTACACTCGTGTGGTGCACCTCGTGCAGTCGTGACAAAGGGGCATTGCCGGTAAGTAATGCACATACTCACACGTCGACTACGACTAGAAACGCTACAGTAAGATTCGAGTGATTTCCGCGACTGTAGCTGGTGGACAGTGAATAGGGTAGGGTACTCCAAAGTGAACTACAAGGTGGCAGCGCGTAGCGCGGAACCATAACTAACAAGCAGAAGCTTCTCGTTCTAAAGAATCTCTTGTGTCCTCAATTCGGCGTTTATTTTCAATGCATTTTTTTATGCCTAACGCTATTATGTTTTTACGCCGGAGACGATACAGCTAGCTACTTATTTTAACCGAAGCATGCGGGAAATTTTGCGTGTTATGGCTATTTTATTTTCGCCACATGTTTCGTCAACCATTTCGCACTGGCCCGTCCGCCAAGGTGCTTCCTGATTGCAATTAGATAAGACTGACTATATAGCGACCCTTTGAGATAGCATGGGACAGTCACTGCGTTCCCAGTCGTCTTGCCACGCTGACGTTGTACACACTTGTGCGCCTCATTCACATACAGAGGGTTGTTGCCGCTATTGGGTGAGGCACAATCAATAATTCGCAGTCACCCGTCTATACAGGGTGGGTGATCCGCGCCGTGGTTTTTTTCTGCTTATACTGTACCGGATTCATGCGTGCGTGCGGGCTTGCCTATCGTCGCTCGCCATGCGGCGCCTAACGGCCCCGTGCGAGTATGCAACCCGTCCGCACGCATGAATGCGGTACAGTATAAGCAGAAAAAAAACACGGCGCGGATCACCCACCCTGTACAACTGGAGAGTTTGATGGTAAATAAGGGCACCGTAGTATTCAAGTGATTTCTCGACTGCAAAAACGATACCGCTGCGAAACATTTATCTTCGTACATGTACGATGTATTTTGTAATTTACCATTTGCAAAATGTGTTGTAAATGTATATAACTTCCCACTCGTTCTCGATAATCTCGATTCCAAGTCGATATGAAGTGCTTTTTTTCCACTACAGTGTCAATAAAAAAATGTGAGTAAAAAGCTCGCTCCCCGTAACTCGGAGGTGCTCAGTATCCCAGCATCTGAGGAAGGATCGATCCCAGGGGGGCGCGCCGTCATGGCAAACACGCCCAGCAGCAGCGCGCCCGCCGACGCAGAGAAGGCAACGTCAACGCAGGCTAGACCAGAAGGAGCGAAGGAATGGTGAGTACCCTGGCTTCCTTACCTCAGAGCGTCGAGCCTTTATTTTTCAACGACGCCATCCTAATGAAAAACTGGTCTATTCGCAGGATGAAGAAGCACCGCAAAGCCCGCGGGGAAGACTTTCAACGCTTGGAAAACAAGCTGCTCCAGCGAGATGGAAAACGTCCTCAGGGATCCAGCAGTACCACGGAAACGCCCACATACCTCGACGAAGACACAAGCATTGAGGAGCTGAGCGGAGCTCTGCTGGGGGCGATGCGGCAGGGTACAATATATGGCCTGCTGGAGTGTATAAAAGAAGGTGTGAGGGACAAGCGGGTGTTTGAGGAGAGTCTGACTGCCGCGTGGTGCAAGGCCAAAGCGCTCGGCCTGCCAATGAGCTACCACGTACTGGAATCGGTGATAGAAACTATAGTGCAGTTGCGCTACGATCTGTCACGTGACAGTGCCGATGGACCGCCAGTGCGCGAGGGCAAGCCGCTGTGGGACCAGGTGGACCAGCTCGTTGCCGACGCGAGGCGTCTGCGGCACCTACTCGACGCGCCGGCTGAGGAGGCGGACGAGGCCGTGATGCTGGCCATGCGCTCGGCCCTGGCGATTCGCGCCGTGAAGTACGAGCTGCTGAGCACGTACGGCACAGTGCCTTGGGAGGAGATGGAGTACCTCCTCGTGATGTACGTCGAGGCGAATACCGTCTACAGGACCCTGGCTTTCCTGGTGGCCAGCCCGGAGAGGATCAGAGCGCACCTGGATTTTTTCCTGGAGAAAGTAAAGAAGATTGATAGGGAAGAATCTCTCGAGGAGCTTCGAAAAGAACCGGAAGGGGAGAGGGTTGATTGGGTGAAGACGATTACCGGCCCCGACCCCCTCGCAGAAATGATAGAGGACTTCACTTTACTACGGGACTGGCATTCACTTCAAGAGATACGAGAGTCTCTCAAAGCTGCCACCAAAGCCCTGGGATTGGACCACAATAAGTGGAAACAGTGGGGCTGGTTTGTTCTCGGGGGAGAGATGTTAGTGGTTGGGGAGAAGATGAAGAACTCCTGGAAGTCGCCGAACCTTTCCTGTCGCTCCGCAGACTTTTTTGAGCGAATAGCCCCGGATAGCATCATCAAGTTGCTGCACAGCGGGATGCGTGACGCACAGGCGCACGGCATTGCTGAGACTCATGCAGATGCAGACGCCCTGACCATATCCGCCCTCAGCACCGGAAAGGAACGAGAGTGTCTCTCAACAGAAATGTCCAGAGTTCTGCGCTCATCTGAATACATGATTCAGGAGGTTGCAGCAGATGTGGTGCGAAAGAGGGTATCACGAAGGGCAAGCAGTGAGCAATTTTTAAGAGTAATGTCATCAATGCGGGAGACCAAGTTCGCCCACGGCGAAAAAATCAATCATGAGGTATCAAGTATACTCTTTGGCAGCCAATCCACATGGAGATCAAAAGGGAACACTTTGAGTGTCTTAAAAAATGATATATTAGCAGGATTATTAAGTACGCCCGTGGTGGTAAATATTGAGGACATGTTGCACTCTGAGGCAGTAAGAGGTTCAACCAACTTCAATAAAAGTAAGCCTTTGCTGTCAGACTCTTTGCTTGATGCTCGGGAACGTATATTTCACGATGTTCAGCAACACGCCCCACAACATTTCGCAAGGATGCGCAAACTTCTCACTGGGAAGGGCGCTGAAGTCCTGAGTTCCCTCCAAGCTGATCTGAACGAGCGGAGCCGATGGCTCCCCGATAACAAGAGCAACGGTGCACTGTCCACACTCAAATCTATTCCGCTTGATATGTGGAACAGCACACTTCTTCGTTATGTCACTGAGTGGATCCAGTTCCGATTAGAGCCGGATCCACTCGCCCCGTCCGGCCCAGTGCTGGAAAACTACATACTCTACGACCTGGCAGACCGCCTCTATTTTCCAGTGGGAACGGAAATGCTAGCTCTATGCTTTCTCATCAACAATGGCGACGTAAATGTTCCTCTCGGCGGCTCAAACCCCAGTTTGCGAGACTCTCAAATCTCGGCCGACGAACAGCTTCGCTTGTCCGCTCTCAAGGACGAGATGTTCCGCACTGCTCGGCGCGGTGAGCTGGCCGGAGTGCAGCGCGCCGCAGAGGCTGGCGTGGACATCTCTAGCAGGGACTGTCGCGGCCGCACGCTGCTGCACGCCGCCGCAGACGCCGGCCAGCTTCACGTGGTGCACTGGCTGCTGGAGGCCGAAGCCGTGGACCCACTCGCCCGGGACTGGAAGAAGAACAGCGCTCTGCACTGCGCGGCTGACGCAGAGGTGGCCAAACTACTGCTTGACGCCGCAGGATTAGGTGAGCATAATTTATCTTTTATAGTTGGACTGTTTGTGTTGCTTGTAGTAAGGCATCGGGAGTCAGGGGATCTCTGCCAAGCTAGCGAGAACGAATAGGGAGGGTTTTGTTTATTAATTTAGACTCACAGGTAAACCTTTATCAAACACCACGACTTTTGGTAAGATTCCCTAACGGCCCTACCAACAGAGATTGGTCACAAATCGTCAAAATGATGAAAATTCGCATCAATATGACGTCTTTTTGGACCCCAAAACGTCATTTTCACATCACTAATACGTCAATCTGACGTTTTGTGACAAATCTCTGTTGGTAGGGGGCACTCAAGAGAGGATAATATAGCCTAGAAAGAGGCACTGTGCCTTCTGGAGCGACAATCTTCGGGACGGTCTAAAACGCGAGTTGTAAACCTATGTCACTGTGTTTGATACTGTATTTTCTCTATCCTTCAGTTCAAAATAGGTCAGAAAGCTCATATTATGAGGATGAGGATCTACCAGATTTAGAGCCCACTCCTCTCCACAGCACTGCGTGGTTGGGGCGAACAGATGCGCTCCGCTCGCTCCTTTCCCACGTCAGTGCAGTCAGTGAGAGCCGGTGGCGGTGGAGTGGGGACATCAACAAATCTCTGTGCCTCGCTGCTCTCGGCGGACACGTGGACACGGTGCGCATGCTGGTGGGGGATGGATCGTTCGACGGCGACGACGGGGACGAAGGCGACGAAGGCGACGAAGGCGACAAAGGCGACAAAGGCGACGAAGGCGACGAAGGCGACGAAGGCGACGAAGGCGACGACGACCCTGAACCTAGGACCTGGAGGAAAAGTCCGCAGACCCCTCTCTACCACGCGGTGTGCGGCGGCAGCATCGACACGGTGAGGCTCTTGCTGCAAAGGTCCCCATCGAACAACCACTGCTGGGTGGCCGCCAATCAGGCCGGGTACCTCGGGCACGTGGACGTGGCCCGCGTCCTCGTCGACGAGCTGCACCAGCGCGGTGCGCGGGTAGACTGTAAAGCTGGGCGTGGTGCTGTACAGGGCATAGCTGATGGTGGGAGTGTTGAAGTCGCCTCCATGCTGCTGGACCGGTGGCCGCAGGCGGTGAACCTCACGGTAAGCATTGAGGAGGGAGCAATGCTCCACACTGCGGCGATGCATGGTAACGTTGACCTGGTGAAGCTCCTGCTGGACCGCGGGGCCGACCTGCTGCAACGGGATCGGAAGTCGTGGACCGCACTCCACAATGCGGCACGTGGAGGGTTCGTGGAGGTGATCGACGCGATCTGGAAGCACGCAAATAATCGATGCACCACCAACCAAGAGCTGCAGAATTTGTTGGAGGTGCAGGGCGAAATGGTCCAACCGCTCTGTGTGGATGCAGCAGCAACCGATCAATATTTGGAAATGCGTTTGCTAAATTTGGGCGCGGACATGCACACAAGAAAGCTGAACCGCACTCATGAAACGCCCCTCTACGTAGCTGCACGGGAAGGCCACGCGCCGGTGGTGGAGTGGCTGCTCGGGAAGGGCGTCCGTCTGCACGGTGAAGAGGACGCCAACACGCCGCTGCACGCGGCCGCAGAGTTTGGCCACCTGGCCGTGGTGCAGCGCCTCTTGCCGGAACCAAACCGGACAGCGGAGGAAGAGCGACCGATGCGCCTGGCACTGCTGCAGCACGTGGGCGAGCACGGGTGCACAGCCCTGCACCGCGCTGCAGCGTCCGGCTCGCTGGCGGTGGTGAAGCTGCTCCTCGAGCGGGAAGTGCAGCTGTTGGCGGAGCACTATGACGAGAAGCTCAGGGCGGGGAGAGAGCTCCTGAAGTGGAGGGACTTTACCGTGTACATGCGGGACGTAAACCCAATGTGGTGCTACACACCGTTACAGCATTGTGTGCAGTGGGGCGCCCCGTCCGCCGTGTTCCGGGCGCTGCTCGGCCACATGGAGGACGAGCGAGTGATGGCGCTCGGCGGCGAGGACGTCCGGACGGTGCGCGAGATGGTGCTGGAGGCGCTGGACATGATCAAGAAGGAAGACCGGGGGCGTCTTTCGGGGAGTCCGGCTTTTGAGCTCAACGCGTCCCTTGCTCGGCTGCAACAGAGGGAGGACGCCGCCATGGAACATGATATGGACGCAGAGAAGGCAACGTCAACGTGGGCTAGACCAGAAGGAGCGAAGGAATGGTGAGTACCCTGGCTTCCTTACGTCAGACAGCGTCGAGCCTTTACTTTTCAACGACGCCATCCTTATGAAAAACTGGTCTATTTGCAGGATGAAGAAGCACCGCAAAGCCCGCGGGGAAGACCTGCAACGCGTGGAACACAAGCTGCTCCAGCGAGATGGAAAACGTCCTCAGGGATCCAGTGGTACCATGCCAACGACCAGAAACGTCGACGAAGACACAAGCCCCGAGGAGCTGAGCGGAGCGCTGCTGGAGGCGATGCGGCAGGGTGATCTGAAACTGCTGAAGGGATTCAGAGAGAGTGTGAGGGACAAGCGGGTGTTTGAGGAGAGTCTGACTGCCGCGTGGTGCAAGGCCAAAGCGCTCGGCCTACCAATAGGATACCACATACTAGAATCGGTGATAGAAACTATAGTGCAGTTGCGCTACGATCTGTCACGGGACAGTGCCGATGGACCGCCAGTTCGGGAGGGCAAGCCACTGTGGGACCAGGTGGACCAGCTCGTTGCCGACGCGGAGCGCCTGCAGCACCTACTCGACGCGCCGGCTGAGGAGGCGGACGAGGCCGTGATGCTGGCCATGCGCTCGGCCTTGGCGATCCGCGCCGTGAAGTACAAGCTGCTGAGCAAGTACGGCACAGTGCCTTGGGAGGAGATGGAGTACCTCCTCGTGCTGTACGTCGAAGCGAACACCGTCTACAGGACCCTTGCTTTCCTCGTAGCCAGCCCAGAGAGGATCAGAGCGCACCTGGATTTTTTCCTGGACAAAGTAAAGCAGATTGATAGGGAAGAATCTCTCGAGGAGCTTCAAAAAGAACCGAAAGGGGAGAGGGTTGATTGGGTGAAGACGATTACCGCAGACGGTATCCAGGAGAGCGGCTCCGACCGACTTGCAGAAATGATAGAGGACTTCACTTTACTACGTGACTGGCATTCACTTGGAGATATACTAGAGTCTCTCAAAGCTGCCACCGAAGCCCTGGGATTGGACGACAATGATTGGGAGCAGTGGGGTTGGCTGGCTTTGCGGGGAGGGCTGTTTGTGGCTGGGGAGAAGATGAAGAACTCCGGGAAGTCACCGAACCTTTCTAGTCGCTTCGCTATGTATCTTGAGCTGATGGCCCCGGAGCGCATCACCAAGTTGCTCCGCAACGGGATCCGTGACGTCCAGGCGCACAGCAAAGCGGGGACCAACGCAGATGCGCTGACCATGTCCGCCTTCAGTACCAAAGAGGAGCGAGACTGCCTCTCAGAAGACATGAATAAAGTAGTGCACGCAGCCGAATACATGATTCGTGAGATTGAAGCGGATGTGGTGAAGAAGAGGGTTCGTCAAAGAGCGAGCAATGAGCTATATCAAAGAGTTATTTCATCAGTTCGCGTGAGTGAGTCTCCTGAAGAGGTACCGATCCATGGCGAAGTGATAGAAATACTTGAACGCGTCCTATTGGGACGATTGAGACAGAGCAGTGCACCCGCACTGCTTGTCTTGATAAATGATTTACGAGCAGATTTGTCAGGATCAGGGCTGGTAAACATTGGGGATTTGCTGTTTTCTGAGACACTGAGACATTCACCCAACGAGAAAAATGGCAAAACTTTGCTGTCAGATTCGTTTCTTGAAGCTCGGGAACGTATTTTCATCGTGGTCCAGGAACTCAGCCCGTTTCATTTTGCAAGGATTCGCAAACTTCTAACGTGGAAGGGTGCTGAAGGCCTGAGTTCCCTCCAGGCGGATCTGAACAGAATGAGCAGATGCCCCCCTGGCAATGAAGATAGTCGTGCATTGTCCGCTCTTAAATCCATTCCGTTAAACATGTGGAACAGGGGGAGCAGCAACCTCCACCGTTACGCCATTGAGGGTGGACTGCGGGTCCTGGCCTCTCGCCAGCACAGCGCCGCCGCTCATCATCCAACAGCCCCGCCGCCTCTAGAGCCCCACGCGCCCACCCTGCACGGCCGCGTGCTGAGAAACTATCTGAACCACGGTGAATTGGCTGTACGACTTTTTACGCCAGCGGAGATGGAAATAAAAGCTCTGTACTCTCTCATCAAAATCGACGTAGACGATCCTCTCGGCGGCTCAAACCCCAGTTTGCGATACTCTCAAATCTCGGCCGACGAACAGCTTCGCTTGTCCGCTCTCAAGGACGAGATGTTCCGCGCTGCTCGGCGCGGTGAGCTGGCCGGAGTGCAGCGCGCCGCAGAGGCTGGCGTGGACATCTCCAGCAGGGACTGTCGCGGCCGCACGCTGCTGCACGCCGCCGCAGACGCCGGCCAGCTTGATGTGGTGCGCTGGTTGCTGGAGGCCGAAGCCGTGGACCCGCTCGCCCGGGACTGGAAGAAGAACAGCGCTCTGCACTGCGCCGCCAACGCAAAGGTGGCCAAACTACTACTCGACGCCGCAGGATTTGGTGAGCATAAGACAAGATGTGGTGGGGTGTTCAGCCAGAAACGGAAGTGGAATCGACGTCAACGTTGCTCGAAATACGCACTAATTTTTCACTCAAATCGAGGGATCGAGGTCAAATTGGCATTGAAACGACGTCGAATAAATTCCCATTTCTAGCTGGGGCGGGGCTTTGTGGCATAATGAAACATATTCTTTAATTGAAATCCAACGGCTTAAAATGTTTGATCGAAACGTTCTTGAAATGTATAGAATATGATGTCCTTCAGTCGTGGCATCGGAACCCTCGTTTCACCTCATCCGGTGATGGCCATGTACACACGTAGAGTTCTATGCAAAAAGCTATGTGCCAAGTGTGTACCTGGCCATGTATGCAGTATTTGCTGCATACATGGTATGTACACACTATCTGCTGCATACATGTAGGTATTCAGCAAATAACGCATACATGTACACACTTGGGTTTCCAGAGTAGTCTATTGCACCACTGCGCTCGTCTTGTCATCTCTCTCCCATCCAGTCTCTCTAGCCGGGACACAAGTGTTCACGCCTGTGTAGAGCCATTAACACCTCTACAGGTTTGAAAAGTCCCATTTTGTTTTGCTCGTGAAGCGCTTGAGGGCAACACCAAGGCTTACCTAACAACAACATGTATGATGCCTAATATATCTTTCGTCAGCTCACACGGAGAGAAAAAATCGGGCCATACGCCCAAAAGTTTGGACAAAATTGAAAGAAAAGTACTATCCAAACTTTTACATGCGTGGCCACCAAAGGTTCCGGTGCAGAGTCCAAAGGTTCTGGTACAGAGTCTAAAGGTTTCAGTGTGACACCGAATCTGATTAGGTGTACTGGTAAAAGGAACAATCCTAAGTCAGTTTTGTTGTCTGGCCGGAACTTTTCTCTCCGTGCAGTCTACTAGAACTCTAATATGCCAATTGCAAATGTAATCATCAACACTACGCTGTATTCCATGCATTATTGAATACCCCGGAGTTTCTCTGAATGACAGGTGTATTTAAGCAAATGCGCCCCAACGTTGCGGATTTGCTTGATTTGCATATCCGCGTAGGGATCGTTCAGAAAGCACGTCCGTTTTTCCTCAGGTTCATTCGGCAAATTGCGAGAGCTCGACGCCTGCCCGACTCGGGATAGGCATTCCCGTCGTACACGCATGCACGGCAGGCCAGACGTTGTCTACCTATTGGGCGCTATGAGAGCTTGCTCAGGCCGAACTTGGCATGTTCGTTCCGGCAAATGATGGACGTACCTTCTGGATGATCCCTAATACCGCAGGGGCAATATTTTCAAGCATTGTGCGCAGGGTGGGAGAAAGAAGCAAACAAACAAGATTGGGGCGTCTGCCTTTACAGGCCCGGTACACCTGCACAGGAAGACGAAACAAGAAGATGTAACCTTATCTGCTGCGTGTTTGGTTCAAAGCATTTTATTGCGTAATTTTTGACAATACAGTGGTTTAAGTTATTGGTTGAAAATACACTTTGTAAGGACATTTTAATACCTAGATTTGGAGAGAAAAAAACAAGGTTAAGAGCAATAAAATGGTACAGTTTTACAGTACAGAGTTAGGAGCACCTCTACTTGTGCGAAGTGCGTCCTACCGTGTAGCGTGTGCAATTAAAATAAGTTAATATACCTTCTTTGCCCCCCAGTTGTGAACACGCCGAAGCTGGTCGGTATGAGCCGAGATTTCGAGCACACTGCACTCCACAGCACTGCGTTGTTGGGGCGAACAGACGCGCTCCGCCCGCTCCTTTCCCATGCAAGAGTCAATGAGGGGTGGTGGATCCTGAGCATGACAAAAAATCCCCTCAGCCTTGCTGCTCTCGGCGGACACGTGGACACGATGCGCCTACTGATTGAGGATGGATGGTACGACAACCCGTGGGGTAGCGAAGGGCCCGGTATAAAGGGGCCGCAGACCCCTCTCTACCACGCGGCGTGCGGCGGCAGCGCCGACGCGGTGAGGCTCTTGCTGCAGGAGTCCCCCTCGGACACCGACTGCTGGGTGGCCGCCGACCAAGCCGGGTACCTCGGGCACGTGGAGGCGGCCATCGTCCTCATCGACGAGCTGCACACGCGTGGTGCTTCGATAGACTGTGAAGCTGGGCGTGATGCTGTGCATAGTGTTGCTAATGGTGGGAGTGTTGAGGTCGCCTCCGCGCTACTGCACCGGTGGCCGGAGGCAGTGAGCCTCGAGGTAGGCATTGAAGGGGGTGCAATGCTTCACACTGCGGCGGGAAGCGGTCACGTCGGCCTGGTGGAGCTCTTGCTGGGCAGCGGGGCCGACCTGCTGCAAAGGGATATAAAGTCAAAAACCGCACTTCACAATGCTGCAAGTGGAGGGTTTGTGGAGATAATTGATTTGTTCTTGGAGCACACAAAGCAAAGCACCGCCAGCAGGGAGCTGCAGCTGCAGAGTCTGTGGAAAGGGTCGGAGGAGCGTACACCACCGCTGTGTGTGGCCGCAATCTACGGGCAGCTGGCAGTCGTTGAGCGGCTGGTGACGCTGGGCGCGGACACAGAGGCCGGAAATCTCGACGCCGGTCTAAAGACGCCTCTTTACTTTGCTGCACGGGAGGGCCACGCGTCGGTGGTGGAGTGGCTGCTCGGGAAGGGCGTCCGTCTGCACGGCGCCGAGGCCACCGACACTCCGCTGCACGCAGCCGCAGAGTTTGGCCACCTGGCCGTGGTGCAGCGCCTCTTGCCGGAACCAAATCGGACAGCGGAGGAAGAGCGGCCCAGGCGCCTGGCACTGCTGCAGCACGTGGGCGAGCACGGGCACACAGCCTTGCACCGCGCAGCAGCCTCCGGTTCGCTGGCGATGGTGAAGCTCCTCCTCGAGCGGGAAGTGCAGCTGTTGGCGGAGCACTACAACGAGAAGCTCAGGGCGGGGAGAGAGCCCCTGAAGTGGAGGGACTTTACCGTGTACAGGCGGGACACGAAGCCGGGGTCATGCCACACACCGCTGCAGCGTTGTGTGCAGTGGGGCGTCCCGTCCGCCGTGTTCCGGGCGCTGCTCGGCCACATGGAGGACGAGCGAGTGATGGCGCTCGGCGGCGAGGACTTCCAGACGGTGCGGGGGATGGTGCAGGACGCGCTGTACATGATCAAGAAGGAAGACCGGGGGCGTCTTTGGCTCGGTCTTCGGGAGAGTGCGGAACGCGAGCTGGACGAGTCCCTTGCTCGGTTGCAACGGCGGGAGGCGTTGCGGTACCTCTTGCAGTCCATCGGCCCAGAAGACATGACCGATCAACCAATCACTTTGCCGAGTAAGGCGCCCCAGGACTCTGAGGACTCTATTGCACCGGTCTTCCTCATCCCCGGTATCGAAGGTAAGCCTGCGCACCGCGTTTTCCTTCCTCTCCAGAAACATTGCCCCGATGGGCCGAGCGCCTAACTGACGTCCGCCCCGTCTAACCGACCGTCCGCAGGTATGGCCGTCACGCTCCAGTCGCTGTGCGAGTACATCAAGGCGCCCACACTGGTCCTTCAGCTGCCCTACACCGACGAGAAGAGCACGACGATCCAGGACTTCGCCCGGTCGGTGTACAAAGTGAGTAAATTGGAAACTACTTCTCCTCCGCATCAAGCTCAGTTAAGACGACGACGCATTGACTTTACACATCTCCCTGCAGCACATCAAGTCCCACCTCGCGCCGAAGGCCTCCTTCAAACTGGTGGGCTACTCGTTCGGCGGCATGGTGTCCACGGAGCTGGTGCGCCTCCTCGAGCAGGACGGCCACGTGGGCGAGCTGGTGCTGCTGGACGGCGCGCCCGCCGGTATGCAGGAGCTCACCAAGGTCTGGATCAAGGAGGACGGCAACACCACAGAGCTGGAGATGGATGTCCTAGTCCGACTGTGGTTCCTGACCAATCAGTCAGACTTCGACAACTTTAGATGTCCTTTGGAGGTACGAATTGTTTGTTAGCTGTCATGTCAGAAACTTGTTGTAATAATTGATGTGAACTTTGCTTTCTGTTATCCTCTACCGCGTTTAACTGGATTCACTCCAACAGACACAAGATCGCCTGTGCAAGGAATCCTCCTTGGAAAGGCGACTGAGGCAAATCATCCCCAAGAAAAGCAAGACTGCTGCGCACAGCAAGAAGGGCATGGCGGCCGCCTTCAGGTCCTTCGTCAACCGGATAGTGGCCGTCAACAACTACCGACCCCCGTCATCGGCGAAAAAGCTTCGATCCACCGTCACCCTCATCAGGCCGACGAGCCAGACATTCAAGCACGACCAGGAAGACTGCGGCCTTACCGACCTGGTAAGCTAACTTGACTTTGCTGCGAATGGGGTTGAAATGGGGTTGCAGGAAAATTTATGAAAATTTCCCCAAAATTTTCGTGTTTGTTTTTTTTTCAGTCTTTTTCCTTTAGGTGCGAAGTACTCTCCTTCACTTTGAAGCCGGCCGGCCGGCTGACCTCTGTTCTCTGTGTGTTCCAGTTCGCACAGGAGACCATCCCCGTGCACTTTGTGGAGGGCGACCACAACACGATGCTGGACAACGTGGAGACGGCCGCCATCATCAACTCAGTCCTGGTGGAGGGCACCGCCGGAAACAAGACGTTCGG